AAAGTTTGCGCTCACGCCGCGCAGCAGATGTGTGCATCGTGCTGAAGATTCGTTTTCGCTTTTTTTTTTGTTTTTGGCCCTGTTAGAGTCTAGTTGCAATTTTTTTTTTTTTTTTCTTTCATCTGGAAAAAAAAAAGAAAAAAAAACAATTATAAATGCATCTGGAAAAAAAAGAAAAAAAAAAGAAAATGCACCTGTACCCGAAAGATGTCCACTGAAAATCGTGGCGGATGGAGAGGGGTGAAACTAGGCCCTTAGATGAAGATTCTCCTGACAATTGTTTTTTCTTTTTTTTTTAAATTTGGACCATTTCTCGATTTATGCGTGTCATCCTTAGGGCCTACTCACACTAGCGGTATCTCAAATGTATCTGACAGCATTCATACCATACTTGGATGTATCTGGCCACAGTTCCGTCCAAAAATACGTAAGAACGTCCCAGGTGAGTATGCCCTTACTTGCGCAGAGGCCATGCTAATCTTCTCTGTATCGTTCCAATTTTAACGGATGTCCCGAAGGACACGCATGACAGTTTATTTATTTATTTATTAAAATACCCCGAAAAAAGAAAAAAAGAGAGAAAAAAAGATTTGGATGACGCATTAGCACGTTGAACCGGTCAGCTGCAGATCTGCCTGCGCTCCCCCCGAATAGAACGGATCTTCCCCCCCGAGGAGAACGTATCTTGCTCCCGTATAGAACGCCGGGTGATTATCGCCGCATCTGATGACTATTCGCGGAGGGAGGCGGAGTGGATGAAACCACTGCGCGGGCATTGGGCCCCGCTGTACTACTCTCTACATTTAATACCAAAAAAAAAAAAAAAGACTAAAAATATGGCGGTGCATCGTTCCACGTTGTAGCGCAAAATTCATTCTCATTTTGCACATTTGGAGAGTAGTGGAGCGAGGCCCAGTGCCGCCGGCAGCCAGTTTCGTATAGTGGGAGAGAGAGAGAGAGAGAGAGAGAGAGAGAGAGAGAGAATCCAAAGAGTTGGGGGTGATCGGCATCGGCGCTGGAAGAGATTGATTACCTACACTCTCGGTGCCCCTCTGCCGCCCACCGCCCCCGCGCGCGCGTGCGCTGCGCAATCTGTTGGCTTGGTGTGCGCGATTTTCGGGTGCGCGGATTAGAGGAGGAGGCACCGGCGACACGGTGGCGTGCAGCGGGGCTTCGGGTTGGCTTTTTCCCCCACCTTTTTTTTTTTTTTTTTTCCAGCTTCCATGTATATGTATATACTCATGTGTTGGGGCGATTGGTCGTCTCGAGAACACATTTCGGGCTCGCTCCACTACTAACTTGGGAATGAATCTGACCCTGAAAACGGAAGGGTACACGACCATATCTTTTATCTTTTGTGCATGTCGAGAGTAGTGGGGAGCGCAGGCCCATATACACAGACCCAAGGACGGAGGGATGAATTGGGAGTGAGGAGGGGGGATGGTGCCAGCGGGCATGTCTTAAAGACTAATACAGCTGGCTGACTGATGTTGCGAGGGTACGTGGACACCCGGGGTGTGTTTCTGTATATCTGTGTGTGTGTGTGTGTGTGTGTGTGTGTGAGAGAGAGAGAGAGAGAGAGAGAGGTGGTAATGTAAAGATTACCGGATATTTTATTTTATATTTTATTTTATTGAGGGACGTCGTATTGCGGGCGATTTAATATTAATGAGAGGCGGGGAGTGGTTGATGTGCTCCCTCCCCCCACAGGCTGGGCTTACTCGACCATGAGGGAGTTGTGCCTGAATAGGGCAGCAGCAGATTCATGTGGTGCATACTGCCCACCTTTTGATTAGCTCGGTGGGGTGAGGGAGAGTATGACGTCGAGATTGATTGGATGCGGCCGGACGTAGGCATGCACTACTACGTCGGATGAGCGCAGCGGGCTGCAAGAGAGCGATTGGCTCGTTTACCCTCTCTTTCTTCCCGGTCTGCAATCGGGCTGCATTGCATGGATTGGCTCCCTTCTCCTCCCCCTCCCCCTCGCCCTCCCCCTCCCCCTGCCCCTGCCCCTGCCCCTGCCCCTGCCCCGGTAGGTGGGGGTATGGAGTGGAGAAGATGACTGGCGGCGATCGTGGAATTGCGGGTCAGATGCGATTAGAGGAAACGGAGGGCAGTGGAGGAAGGAAGCACCGAAAGACAGCAAGCAGGGATCCCAAAAGTGACGAGAATGTAGCTAATTGATGCAACTTCAAAAGGCACAGGCTCCCTCTGTGCGTGCGTGTCTCAGACACACACACACACAGAGAGAGAGAGAGAGAGAGAGAGAGAGAGAGAGAGAGAGAGAGAGAGAGTACCTCTGTGTGTGCGTGTCTCTCAGAGAGAGAGAGAGAGAGAGAGAGAGAGAGAGAGACTTCCTCTGTGTGTGCGTGTCTCTCAGAGAGAGAGAGA